TTGACTTTTTAATTTACACACACTCATTATTTAGTCAAAGTTTCTTCTTTCCATCCCTAAAAAATGTTTCTGGCTTTGCCACTGTTGAGGAGTGCGTGGTATAGAAGAAACTAAAGTATGGAAAAGAGAGGATGAAAAACTGAAAGAAAGAGATATTGAGATATTATTAAATAATATGAAATTGTCATATAAGAAGCCTTTAAGAAGCTTATATAGAAGCTTAGGTAACTTATTGACCAAGAGACCTTACATCTAACATCAAAACAATATCGTATCTAAGATTTACTTCCATAATTACATGAATCATATTTTATATAATATCTCTATCATCTCTCAAAACACCTCAAACCTTTTTTTTTTTTTTTTTATTGAAGTTGAAACTGAGAATCTGCCTAGAGCTATGAAGAAATAGTAGAAAAATGAAAAAGCAATAGAAAATTGAAGTAGTAGATGATGGGGTAAGAGTTTTACATAAAAGATTGAATTGAAGAATGAAAGTTTAGGAAAATAAGAAGGCAGAGAAAAGAATTAGAAGAATTTGAGATAAAAGAAGTCAACATGTGCGATGAAGGTTGAAAATGCACAAAGCAATATGAAATAGAAGGAGTTATTATAAAAAGTAAAGTAGTATAAGAAAATCAAATTGGTAGAAACTCGAAGTAGAAGAAAATTGACTTATTAGGAAAATGTTGTGAGCTAATTGAATTAGATGAACCAAGAGGAATTGTTTAGTCAAAATCAATTAAGGGATTCCAACAAAATCAAGGGAGTTTTTTATTTTTTAATTGAAATTAGGAGACACTAACAATAACAAAAATTATTGATGAAGAAAATAAAACTGAAAAGGGTTGCAAAAGGGAAAAAGAAATCAGGATTTCATGCTAAGCTTGCAGCTCTTATATCATATATAGAAGAAATTACAACATGAAAATGAGAGAAGGGAAAACTAAAAGAAAGGTATAGTGAAATATTATTGAATTATATGAAATTGTTACCCAGGAGCTTTTATATAGAGACATAGGTATCAAAACTTAGGTAATTTACTGACCATGAAACTCTAAATCTAACATAATAACAACAATATCAAATTTAAAATTTATTCTCATAATTACATGAATTATATTTTATAACATCCCTATTAGTTGGATGCGGACTATGCACTAAGGTGCTGATACCTCCTAGGCAGGTGTTGGGAGTACTTCTTTCCTAGAAGAATGTGTTTCCTATTTGGTGCAACACCTCATTCTGAGTTATCGTGGTACTATTCTTCTAGAACCCATTTTCGACGGTCTTCTTCAACATCAAAGTGCCTTTGCTCTAGACTTCAATTATTCATGAAATTTAAAGGCGCAAACCCAACAATTAGCTAAGGAGACCAAGTCAGTGGAAGCTCAATTATAAAATCCCAATATTTATGTGTCACATGTTATATTAAATTGAAAAAACTAATCTATTAATTAAGTTTATATGTCTTCACATATAAATTTAGCTTAATTATTTTATCTTGGTGATGTACGTGCAACTTCATACTCACATATTAAAAAGAGTTTTAGACCCGTAAGGAAGCGCAAATATTGTCGTTCCATTGGCCATTATAAACTCAAGCAACTAGTTTACGTTTGCACCGTTGAAATTTATTGAAGAGGAAATATAAATATAAATGGTGAGTGAGTGGGTTTACTTTTAGTGAATGAGATGGAAAGCATTAATTAGTAGTGGATGGATCAATATATATATATTTTGGAGTTAACCCAACGATTGGACCTGAGACAATAAACATACAGATGACATGATTATTTTACATTGGATCGAACTTATTTTATTTTTGTGTTCACGACTCATTCTTCTTCTTTTTCTTCTTTTTTATTTAACAAAAAAAATATTATTTATTAATAAACGGAGTACAAGAACTACCCCAAACTTATAAACATAACAACTTGAAAAGCATAATACTACATGAGTGGAATATGCCTTCCATATGGTGTCGACCCCCGAATTATGTGTCAACACCACGTCCATATTGGGGTTTGGATGCTTAGCATATGGTGTCGACACCAAACTTATGTGTCGACACTATACCCATGTCGGATTTGAGGATTTCTGCCCTCTTTTGCAGTTTCTTCATCAATCACTTATCTGACCATCAAAAACTTCCCAACTGTTAACCCCACTGGCACGCAGAGTCATTGAGCATGCCCCTTTGTTTCACGCACTCCTTTGGGTCCAATAACCAATTTGTGAGGCTTGTGTGCCACCCCTCCCTAGTTGCACTTATCCATTCAAAGGATCTAAGTTGTATATTCTTTTTAATTTGATTAGGGCATCTTTAAAAGTGCTCCAACCTACGGTCTCCAAAGTGGTATATATATAGATTGATATAAATTGTTGATGCACAACAAAAGTTAGGTACACACTGATTATCAGTAGGGACAGAGGACAAAAGGTATACGGAATATATCAGGGCCGATTAGGAGAGATACATAAGTGTTAGCTTAATTTACTTGAAAACTTTTTTAATGGTTAAATCCTTGATGGTGTTTCAACATATTGTGCCAAGTCAGGAGAGATTCTGCTACATCGATATGTGAACCATGCTAAAAACAAACATTTTAAAAAAATAATTGGTAAACAAAGCGGTGTCAGTAGACAAAGCGGTATCCTTAAGGCTGGTAATTAATATCAAATGTCTAAATTAAAATCCATCTTACAATATCAGCATGCAAATACTCCAATGGAGTCGTCAGATATAAAAAATGCTAAAAAAGTGTCTGCTTTCAAAAGTATCTTCTGAAATTTGCTTTCATAAAACTACTTTACTTTTCCTACTCTTTGGCCAGAAAAAACAAAAAACATTTGATTACTAAGAGTGCATTTGAGATTATTGTAAGGCAGTGTAGTTGTAATTGTAACTATAACTAAAAATTATTTTGATATTTAATTATTTATTTTTTAAAATTATTATGAATGAAATATAGTAAATTTTATTAATTATTAATTAAAATTTAAAAAATATTCTTTATAATATATAATTATTAAAATAAAAGCAGAATCCTCAAATCTATCTTTAAAAAATATCGGTAGAGACAGATTTATCCCTTAAAAAAATAGAGGGATAAAATGTCCTTTCAAATTATAAATCAAGACAAATCACTCATTTTTTAACAAAAAATTAAACGTCATAATTCTGCTTGTCACGTCAGTATTTTTTAACGAAAAACGTTAAAAAAAAGGATGATTTATCTTAATTTATAATTTGAAAGGCAATTTGTCCCTCCATTTTTGTAAGAGGTGGATTTGTCTCTACCAATATTTTTTAAAGGTGAATTTAAGGGTTTTGCCTAAAATAAATAGTACTTATTACTATAAATCTACTATAATTTTCTGTAATTTAAAAAAAAAATTTAAAAAATTATTAAATACATATATATCTAAAAATATTGTACGGTTATAAAAAAAAAAAATTCCTCGCCACAATACTAAGGGCAGCCTAAGCTTACATCACTTCGCTCAACATATCACTTTGGCCTTTTTATATGACTTTGATGCACCCACTTTGGGGCGTATATATATATATATATATATATATATATAATGGTGAAGAGAATAAAAAAATGAAATAAATTACTACACAAAATCAGAAACCAAATTCTCACTGGTGTGGGTGGAATAATCGCTGAACCTCATTCCTTTCATGCTTTAATTTAAACACAAAATTCTCCTCACCATAAACTCCTTTCTGTGTGAAACCCCACATTTCCCAGAACTTCCACAGACTTCACGAGTCCACCGCATGGGAATAGAATCCCTCTTTGCATGCATATAAATACCATCCCTCAACCGTTGTCAATGACAGTAGTGTTACAATATTCCAATAAGAGCTATCGATATTCTGTTTTGTTGGTGAGAAAATAAAAGGGAAAATGATAAGGTGGGAAGATGTTTATAAGGTGGTGGCGGCGATGACGCCGCTATATTTTGCGCTCATGTTAGGGTATGGTTCGGTGAAGTGGTGGCGGATATTTAAGCCGGAGCAGTGTGATGCCATAAACCGCCTGGTTTGTTATTTCATTCTACCTCTGTTTACTCTGGAGTTTACGGCGAACATCAATCCTTTCCAAATGAACTATCGGCTTATTGGGGCTGACGTGATTTCGAAGTTGATCGTTGTGGTGGTGCTGGCGTTTTGGGCTAATTGTAGTAGTAAAGGAACTTACGCCTGGTCTATTACTAGTTTCTCCTTAGCTACCTTGACGAACACGCTTCTCATCGGAGTGCCCATAATGAATGCTATGTATGGGTCAATGGCCGTTGATCTTGTCGTGCAGTTGGCGGTGGTACAGGCGATTATATGGTTTCCGATTATGCTGTTTGTGTTGGAGTTTCGGAGGTCGAGAATTTCCATTTCTTCTGGTAAAGAGGATGCTGGTGGAGGTGAGAAGGATTTGGAAAGAAGCACAGATGTGGCGGTGAGCGGCCGGCCGCCATCGTTCTGGATGTTGATGAAGGTCGTGGGATTGAAACTTGCTAAGAATCCTAGGTGCTATGCATGCACCGTCGGTCTTGCTTGGGCTTTTCTGGCAAGCAGGTATTCTATTTTTTTTTTAAGGTGCTTGTTTCACATTTTGTTTATCAATCAAAAAGTAAAATAATTAAAACAAGACGTTGATGGTTGTATAATCTAATCAAAGGAGTCAATACCGTACCGTACCGGTCGATATGGTCGGTATGTATCAGTTTTGAAAGTTAACCGAAATGGAACAAGTTAGGATTTTATTTTGGTCAAATTTCGGGTGTACTGGTCAAATTTCGGTATACCGGCCGAAATTTCGAGTACCGACCGGTACATCGGAATTTGACAAGTACATTATGCAAGAAGGGGAAAAAAAAAAAAAAGAATCCCCAGCCAAAACAACGTTGTTTTGGCTTGCGGTGGCGGTAGGATACCCAGGCGGTATCCCGATCAAGCCTGCCGTCGCCTTGGAACCAGTAAGGGAGCCGCGGTGGGCGTCAAATCTGGCAGCCCTCGCGCCGCCGCCACAGATCCGCCGGAGGAGAAAGAAGGCCGCCGGATCTGCACCAAACAGAGCAAAAAACAGCAAACAAACAAAGCAAACCAACATATAAACAAACAAACCAAAAAAACCCACACAAAACAAAAAACAAAGCCAGATCTGCAAGAGGATGGTGAAGATTCGAG